TAATATTATGTAAAATGAGTACTTACAAATGAAGCCTTTATTTTCCCCCTGCAGTTTCCATCTATACTATCCACATAGCCAGAGGTAGAAGGATATAAGACACACATAGTTGACATATCTCATTGACTGGCCAATTTCCCACTAAATCAGATTTTTTGTAATAGTGAGGATTTTCTAGTTTCTTTCACAGACATTCACTCATTCCATCATTTATGAAATATTTGCCAGTCACAAACTGTTTTCCCAGAAGTCTTGTAGGTATTGTAATAAGCAAAACTGACAAAAATCCTTGATTTTGTGGAACTAATCTTTTAGTCAGTAAAATGTAATTGGTTAGAGTAAAGGTTAATTTGCTATATAAAAGAGCTTCCAATATATTTTCACCTAAGTAAGATAGATATTCCCTTCTTCAGTTCTGTGACAGCCCACCCAGGTCCTACTACAGGAACCCCACCAGATGTCATTCAGAGGCCACTGGCACTTTGCTAGTCTTTGGACATCTTCCTGGGACCAAGACTGGGCCACTGCTCAGCCAGCTTGCAGCTCATAGCAAGAAATTTGCTCTTAAGATACTACACAGATACTACATTCTGCACATCCCTCCCACTTTCCATTGACGCTCATTTAGATAGATCAAAACACCTGTCTGCAAAAGTGGTGGAAAGTGTGATCTTTTGCTGAGCCAAGCTTAAACCCAAGTCAGGTGGGTGTATTTGGGAATACAGAATAGCATCTCTCACTCCAATAGAGAAAAAAAACCGTGAACAGAACAAACCAGGCAGGAAAAGAAAGCAGGAGTGAGGATAGGAAGCTTTGGGATAAGACTGCAATTTTAGAGTTTGGTGGAGAAGCACCACTGAGTAGGGGACTTTTGAGGAGGGACCTACAAGAGCTGGGGTCCGTGTATCAAGCTGAGGAAAAGCATTGCAAACAGAGATAATGACAAGCTGGAAATGTTATTGGTGTCATGGGTACAATAGAGAGCTCATTTTTGGGACATGTTGAATTTAAGATGCATTTCCAGTCTACTAAAGATATTTAGTAGGCTGTTGGAAATAGGAGTCATGTTCAGGAAGGTAGCTTGCACTGGAAATTCAAATTTCAGAGTAGTAAATATAGCATTCTACTTAACCTAATTATTTACTGTAAAGGCCTAGTCAGTTCTGTAAGTAGAAGTCAGCCAGACCACAGAAAAACCATGGGACTTCTTAAAATAGATTTGTGCAGGTGTGTGTGTAAGCTAGTTCTGCAGGCACGCATCTTCCTAAGAGATCTTGGCCCCTCCTAGTGGATCTCGGGGTCTGAATAATAAACCATGTTTAATCCTCTCTGTGAGGAAGCCAAGATCCAGAGAGGTGCAAAATCTCATTCATAGCCAGGGCTGAAAGCAGTGAGAGCCGGATTTTGGAGGCCTGTTCCCTTCCTCCCAAGCAAGCCCTTCCTCACAGGGCCCTTTGTTCGGAATGTACTCTGGGAAGAAGGATCTTTTGTTTAGCACATTTTTAAACATAACCTGTTAGGTAGTTGAAGTGGTTAAGCAAGTAAGTGATCATTAGAAAGAGGAGTTATGGTTATCCAAAGGAGGTGGGCCTGAATAGCTAGGAAGAATGCACACACAAGCTTCTAGAAGCTGTCTTTCCATATTTTCCCACTTCCATAAAGTTTTCCCCTCCTCTTCTGACAAGGCACAGCTACAAGCATGCTTGTACATACACTGACATACAAACATCATAAGCCCGCCCCACAAGGCACTGAACACTCAGGGCAGCTGAGTCTATGTGGAATGGGCTTCACGCAGCCTCGAATGGGTCTGCTGCTGAGAAAGTCCCATGATCTCTGGTGACCTGGCTGATGTCTCTCTCCATGAGCATGACCTTCACATAAACAGTTACCACCTAAATAGTTACCTGGCAGAAAGTTTCACTGTCTTGGAAGCTACCGGCATCCACCCAGCAGGGATCAAAGGTTCGGAGAGCCTGATTCCAGTTCTCACGGTGTCTCCATTTTGCAGTGTCCTTGAACAAGTTACACAAAGTCTTGTTTTACTTATCTATCAAGTAAGAGTCGATCAATGAACTTTCACCAGTGTGCCTCACTGATCTGAGTGTGTAATCACTGCAGGCGTGTGAGTGACACGCAGGCTTGGAAGCACCATGGCCCCACAGAGGCGAGCGTCCATATTTCACTCAGCTCTCTGGCTGGTAAATGAGTTCCTAACTTCCAACATCTGAGGTGTTTCTGCCAGATTCCAATCACACAAACCTCTCCAACATCTCACCTCTTCAGCTATATTCTGGAGCTCTTCGGGGCTTGTCATTTTACATTTGCACTGCTGTAGATGACAATTATACCTAAGAATAACAAACCCATTTCCTATAAAAAAGAAGATATTTTGCTGCATTCTCATGAACTTGTGCATATCACAAGAATCAAGGCTGTGGTTTCCAGAATCTGACTTTCTCTGGGAATACTCTGAAGAGCTGTTGACGTTAACAAGATGCCTTTTATTAATAGTATCAAAGCTTGAGGGGTAAAATATGCAATTTTCTTCTTTATCTTAAAATGCTACTGCCTGGGATAGATAGAGAAAGAGCTGACTGGGTGTTCTTTTCTTTAAAACTGATGTTATCATGGCAACTCAATACCACTGACATTACAGTATTTCTACCTTACCTTGGAGACACATGTCTTAACAAGACTTATGATTCGCTTGGGGGAAATAAACCCTGAGTCACAAACCATCCAATTAAAAATAACCTCCCCCACCCCCCATGTGAGGGTACTTTTTGCTTACTTATAAGAAGCAGTTACAATTATATGAAGGCAAATAAGCTAACACTTTATAGAAAGACTTAACAATAAGCATGCAAAGGACTCTAATCTCAATTCTACTTTAACCTGAAATCCCTATTCTTAGTGAGGCTTTTCTGATTTTTGAATAGTATATTGATGACCTTAATAATTTTAGCATATCAATAGGAACTTTGAGATCTTCAACTCAAATATATATTACGTATCATTTTCATGGCTGCTTTTGCTAAAACCTAACATTGAGTTAAGGCTAAGTCACTTTTCTCACAAATGTAAATGAGGTGGCAGTTTTCCACAGCTTCACCATTTGGTCCAAATAAGTCATACTTTTCTCTCCCAAGAAACTTCCTTTTCAATGTAGCCTACTATTTCACCTGCGTAGGATGTAAATTCCTATACAGTTATTTGTCAGTGTTTTTACAGCTGCCTGTATTCATATTATCCTTTTGGGAATTTGTCCACTGAGAATATTTCAGATTGAAATTAAATCTTTATCAGGTTAGGGATGTAATTTGTTTAACATACTATGTGATGAACATTTAATATGTGCTACTTGACGACAGTATGCCTATATAGTTAATGGATAAAATATTTCTTATGAATGCTGGGCATTTTTAGAAACCAATATCCTTTAAAAATCTGTAATTGATTTTTTATTCCTATGCACTCAAGGTTGAGGCATATAGCTGATGTGTCTCTCCAGGTGGCAAGAAGAAACTTATTAATGTGGCCCAGAATCATTGAGCCTGGAATTGCTGGTGTTCCTGAACATAAAATTATGTTTCTCTCAGGCAACAAAGAGCTGGAGGTGCCTTGGGGGAAGGGGGCGGGGAGTACCCTCTGAGCAAAGGCCGTGAGAAAAATTAAAGGAGCAACCCAGGGTTACCTCAATCAGGGGGCAGTCACCCAAAGGAAGAGAAGATATAATTTCCCCTCTATTTAGGTTGCACTATCTTTCATATCCTTTTTGAGACCGAGTGAGATGTGATGACTCCACCGAATACCCATTTCTGATATAAATGAGTTTATTCATCCCAGCACCCCAGACATAATTAAGGTGCTAGCAACAAGCATCATCATTCCAACAGCTGATGATTTTAGAGCACTGAGTGCAGGGTCAGCTCTGAGTGCTTTACAGGAGAACACTGTCGCTCTCTCAGCAGCAAACCTAGCAGCACGTAGTTACCTTCATCAGACACATGTGGGTGTGAGACTCAGCAAGGCTGAGTAATTGACTCAAGCTTTCCCTGTTAGAGGTTGACTGGGCCTGTGGGTTCTTGAGTCTCTGTTTGCCTCTAAAATAGAATCTTTTTTTTTCCACAGCAATACAAACCATCTCCAAAACTCAGTGTGTAGTTAGTTCAGCAACTTAACAGCTAAGGTATTAAGAAATGTTTACTGTCTCAGAAATTGGGGGTCTACTCTAAGGTCACTGAAAGCTCTAATTCCTCGTTTTTCCTTAAAATTGCCCCCCAGATGCAAATCACAGTTCAATTGGCTGTAAAATGTAGATAGTCTACTTCCAATTAAATGGCAAGTATTAAGTATCTACTGTGTACTAAACACTGTGCCAACATACTGAAGAGACAGATAAAGATGAGAAATTTGGGGCTTCCCTAGTGGTGTAGGGCTTAAAGTCTCAGTGCTATCAAGCTATCACCAGCTGCTGCAGCAGAGTTCAATTCCCGGCCAGGATGCTGACCCACATAGAGTGCAGCAGACCTCTCTCTTCTCGCCACTGCTGCTCTCTGCACAGTGTATCAGTAGAGCCACCTGTTCTGCTCCCCACTCTGTCTCTTTGAATCCCCTCACGCCCTGAACCTTTGGCCTACTCCCCTGTTCTTGTATGCATAAATCCATAAAAATATTTTTTAAAAAAATGGGAAATACAAGCTTACAATTTCAGTCTAGTGGTTGGAAAAGCACATTCCTGCATCACAGTTTGTTGAGGGTTGTGTGTCCATAGTGTTGTGGAAACAGGATCGGCACATGCCACACATTTGGGGTGGGAGAGTATTATTAAGGCTAAGAGAGAAGTGTGTGCCATCTTATGTGGGGTGCCATTTGGTTTCCTGGGGTTTTATTTATAATTTATGTAAACCATTGCTAAGGTACTGCCAACTTTTGTGCAAGCACGGCATCTCTTAAGCAGTTTGAGAGGGTGCTCACTCTATTCCTGTGGTTCTCAGGTACCAGCAAGGTCAACCTTGTGAAGATCCCATCCACAGCCTCCAGCCCTCGGGACACAGCCCTGGCTGCGGTTATCTGCAGTGCCCTGGCCACTGTCCTGCTGGCCCTGCTAATTCTCTGCATCATCTATTGCAAGAGACAGTTCATGGAGAAAAAACCCAGCTGTGAGTCTTAATCTCTTTTTCTTAGCAATTTGGCAAAGGGTGTTTATCATCATTGTTACTTGGTTGTTCATAAGAGACTCGACTAAGCCTAGAACCAGGAAGCTGTGAGAGGGATAAAGGGAAGATGGGTTTCACAGTTGTCTAGGCCCAAAAGGCACAGAAGGGGAACTGAGGGATGGTACCACTTTATCGAGACATTAGGAAGGCAGTGATGTTCCCAAGCCAGAAAGCAAATGTAAACATCATGCTAAGTTCTGGTAACAAAAATAACCTACCTTTTGAGCTTTCTTGACAAATTATTTCTTGTCTATGCTTTTGGTAAAAAGAAATATTTTAAAAGTTAATTGCTTTTTTTTTTTTTTTTTTTGGTAAAATTACAAAGACTCTTTTAGAGAAGAATTGTGTTCACTGACAGAATTCTCCTCCCATCCTTAGGGTCTCTGAGAGCACATGACATTCAGTACAACGGTTCTGAACTGTCATGTTTTGACAGACCTGGGCTCAGCGAAGCTACACCCAGACCATGTTGCCAATACCACCGGGACTCAGCCCAGACCTGCGGTAAGTTTGGCGAGTTAAGGGTCCATCAGGGGAGCCACAGGAACATAGACATGGAAGCTGAAAAGACATGTCTCTGTTCATTCCACAGCTAGGGTAGGTCTCTAGTGAAAGCGAATCTTATTATTCTACACTGTCTCCTGATCAACTAAGTATCTCAAGTCTCTTTAAGTACTAAAAAGCAAGTAAGTAGCTCATTAAAATTCTAGAATTTTCCAGCACCTATTAGGCAAGTCTACCTTTCTTCCTTTCGGTCAGTTGATTTTAAATAATATCAGTGTTTTACAGAACATAAACTTGTATCCTTTCTTTGTCTGGTGGATTCAAAATGAATATTAGTGTGTTCATTATTCATCTTAATGTCATTTTTGGATTTCCTAAAGAGGGCAGTGGAAAATCTATGGAAGAGTTCTCCACAAGCCATAATTGCTTCTTGGTTTATTGGAAAGATGAAAGTTTAGGGAGAGAGGTAATTCAGATGGAAATTGGGCAAAATTGGACAGACCAATACTAACTTCCTTGCCACTTATTTGTATTCATCAACACAGGTTTCTGTGCTTACACTCCCCACCCTCTGCCCACTGCAATGATTTCACCTCCTTTGGGAAGTAAAATCCCGTATGACTACAATGCCTCCTAGATGTTTGCCCAACTACACCTCAGGCTACAGTTGTCTTAGTACCGTTGGGGGAAAAAATGCCAACGCACCATTTTTTTCTTTTTCCAATTCTTTGCTTTAAATTAAATGCATCCCAGTAGGATTGAAATATCCTTTTGGAGTTGTCCAATCATTCTAAGAAATTTCAGGATTCTATTATTTGATCTAATATTTCATGTGTAGACTAACAAGTTTCAGAAGCATTATTTTTCTATTGATCATTACCATTCTCTATTTTGGGGCAAGAGTAAAATATTGGACTTTCTGTGATATGTGGCTCTTCTTTTGCCTTTAGCTGTGTAGATAATAGACCCTCACAACAGTAACTGATCGTAAATTTGTGATCCAAGATGTCCAAGTGTTATTTCCCAGATCTATACTGTGACACTGCTCTAGAATCACAGTGAACAAGATAATTTGAGATAGGAACACAAATTTTAAATGTAATGATGTCTGCTTTATCTTAACTTCTATATGAAAAGAGAGATTAAATATATATGTGGCCTTGGTGCAGAGCCTCTGAGAGGGCATCATACGAATGCCTAGGTTCAGTATAGTTTATCATTTAAGTCACGTCCTCCTTCATGTCAGTACGTTTTTTTCTTTTAATCTTTTTATTTCAACATAATTTCAGACTTATAAAAATGTTGAAAGAATAAGACCCAGAAATCTCCTAAATATTAGTATAGTAGCATCTTACCTCATTCCCAAGTTTGCTTTATCACACGCACAGACACACACACACACACTTTTTTTCATATCATTTGCATATATACTGTCCCTCATTCCCTTAATACTTCAGTGTTTGTTTCTCAAGAGCAAAACCATTCTCTTACATAACAACATAGAAATTAAAAGATGGATATCTATTAAAAACTGTCACTCAAAGGAGCATACGTCATTTTTAAGGGCAATGGTGAACTGGTGTTAAATAGAAACTTCTGGGGGGATGGTGGGAGGGAAGGTGGAATGAACAAACATTTTGCTTCATGTGCCGCTGGCTTTTCTAGGGCCTGTGCATTTGATTCCATCCTTGTGCTGTGATGAGGCCTGTAGTGTTGACCGAATGACCCTGGGCTGCAGGGTACATTCCAAGGCCACTCTCCAGGAGAGGTAACTGGGTGCTTTTAATCCATTTAATTTCATATTCCCTTTTGTAAGTAAAATATCCTTTGTAAGAACTAGGTAAGTCACAGTTACTAGTATTCAATGCAACAGTCTTATATTTTATACCCTTTTAATATTGTTTGTCCTATATTCATGATTTATGACAAATATATCCTCTGTAAGTAATTATTAACATGATATACTTACAGATTTTAGAATAGGATTCAAAGAAACTCAATTAAGACCCATGAAACAGCAGATTTTAGGCACTGGATTAGCCTAACTCTATTGACTGGATGTGATTCCATGTGTAGGTAGGTATGAAAATAGTCTTAGAGGGAATGTTGTAACTGAATTTGTGATATTGAAAACAAGTTTATAACAACAGGAAGCCCTAGAATTCTGATTTGATAAATTGCTATTTCATCTAGAAAATGTAAAAATATAATTGAAATGTTACTTACTAGTACTGTTTTGTCCCATGGGATACTTAAAGATCTTTTGAATATTTGTTCAGACATGCAGGTCCAGTGGGGGAGATGATGCCGAGTTTCTTTGTGTCCTTTACAAGGTCCGTCTGTGGCGAGTTTTCAGATGCTTGGCCTCTGATGCAAAATCCCACTTGTGATGATGACATCTCTTTTTGTGACTCTTACCCTGAACTCACTGGAGAAGATATTAATTCTCTCATTCCAGAAAATGAAAGCTCAACTTCCTTGGATTCAAACAGTAGTCAGGATTTGGTTGATGGAGCTATTCTAATTCAAGCTCATTCTGAAAATTTTACAAAAACAACTGTTTGCTCTAGACATAACAACTCACAGAGAGAAACAACATTATCTCAGGATACTCTAACTACTAGAAGCCAGCTAGATCAAGAAAGAGGTGATATCGTTAACCTAACCACTCAAACATCCATCCAGGTAAGGCAATGAGGATTTCACTGCAGACATACAGCACTGACTGTATGGAATGGAATTCTATTCTGACTTTAATGTGGGGAGCCTGATGAGAAGTTTTTTCCATCTTTCACACCTTCTGTGTTATAGGGGAAGAACATTTCAAGAATGTTTTTTCTTCCTACCATCATACCTTACAGTCCTGTGCTTTTCTCCCTTTCCACTCCCTTTACACCTTAGAACATTTCATAGTGTTTATTAATGTCTGGTAGTTCTTGTAAGTATCTACTTCATCCAGTTGCCCACTATGTAAATATCCAGTATTTGTTTTTGTCTTTCTGACTTGCTTTACTACACATAATTCTCTCTATCTCCTTCCCTTTTGCTAAAATGACTGCATTTCATGTTTCCTTATGGATAAATTGTATTCCATGGTGTGGCTATACTATATCCTCCTGATACAGTCAAATATTGATGGACATTTAGGTCCTGAATGCTTTCATTCTCTTTAAATTCAACTCCGTAGCACAGCACCCCCAGCTCCATTCCTCAGTAAGAGAGATGAGTTAGTTGTGGGAGTACCTTGTAAAAAAATCCTAAGCTTCATTTTCCTTGTGATATTCTTATGCCCAACATGTAATGCACTTCCTTCCTTGTCAGGTTAATTAGAATTTAGATCTCCCAAACCTGCTCTGGTCCCTCCTTGCCCTTTCACTGTTACTTTCTAAATTGCTCAGCTCAGATTTAGTGATCAGTTAAGTTGGATTGGAAATAATCACTTGTTATCTGGTACCAAGTGAGGCTTATCACCCGATTAGATAGAAAGATTTAAAGTCTGGTTTCGGTGGGCGGTGGCAAATGCCAGGAAGGTTGGCTTCCTGCCTGGCTGCAAGTAGGGGGCAGAGACAAAAATAACTGGGCTCCAGCTCTGATTTTTCCTCTCTGCTAGGATATGGCATTTGCTGACAGATATTTCTTTAATGTAAGCACATATACTATCAGTTATGTTTTTTTCTGGGAGAGAGATACTACTTTTGAGAATAACTGGCAAAGTTGTAGCAACAGGTCCCCCAAAACTCTGCTCTACACAGACAGCATAGCTCACTGCTGTCCTTCCCTGCTACTGAAGATGCTGGCATGAGCTCAGGTAGACCTCCATCTCACCAGATGCAAGACTGTCTCAAGATATAGATTGATAGATAGAACACTATTTTTTAACTACCCAAACTACCAACACTATTTTTTAACTACCCACATTATATGAGATGATAGGTGCTAAGTACACTTATTACAATAATTACACAATACATGTCGATCAAGCCAATATGTTATATACCTTAAACTCACATAGTAATAAGTGTCAATTATATCTCAAAGAAATTGGAAAAATATAAAGAGAATGTATAGGAAATTCTATGCAGAAAACATTATTGGCTTTGGAAATTGTTTCTTTTCCTCAAAATAAAGGAAAATAAGACATATAAAGAGAGGAAAGTCAGTAGCTGGGAAAAATTGTTTGATCTTGCTTATTTGAGTCATCCCATGATTTTTATACCCTTCATTATAATAATAAGATTTCAGAGTTAGCCTCATTAATTGTAGATCTTCAGAATGGACTGTGACCACAGAACTTCAGGACAGAGGACTCTTGGGACCTGAGAGCAGGAAATAGGCCCTACGCTATAGGCGAGGGGATACGGAAACAGGACAGTAGTGTCTTGACTCTTAAAACTTCACTACAGGCCCTCCCTGGTGGCGCAGCGGGTTGGAGCACAGCACTGAGAATCTGAAGCCACTTCCGCATGAGTTCGATCCCCGCCTGCCGCCTGCCCGGAGGAGACCACATGGCGAGCCAGACCTCTCCTGGCCCGCCCGCTGCTCCCCTCAGCAGTGTACTTTGTAGATCTGCCTGTTCTGTTCCCCCGCTCTGTCTCTGGTGAGGCTTCTCACCGCCCCTGAGCCTCTGGCCTGTACCCCAGTTCTGTATGCACAAATAAATAAATCTTTAAAAAAAAAAAAAAAAAACTTCACTACAAGACATGACATTTCTTTTATGTCAAGTTAATTGATTTTGACCATAAACTACTTGTGTTTCCTCCTCATACCTCTGTTGTTCAAAGAAAATCTGAGTAACCAGAATGATTGCATTAACAACTGACTAGAATCTTTCAGAGTACTGTCAATAAATAGAACTATCACTAATCTTGTTAAAAAAAAAAAACTATCACTAGTCCTAATTGTATAGAATGATATAGCTTGTTCCCAATTTTGTGATGTCAGTTCTCAGATTAAAGACAAACATCTTTTTAGTGAGCTGGAGGTAGGGCTGATGTGCACTATTATCACAGTTATATGAATGTAAAATTTTAGAAACATATTCGTAAATGATATTAGTGTTTAGTGACACTAATTCCTTTCTATGTACAGTTCTTAAGGTAGATGTGATCTACACAATACTTTCAACTCAAATTATTATCAAAATTTATAATATTGATAATATAGAAAAAAATGAGTAAGTTGCACAATGTAATTTACTAATGAAAGTTTTTCATTAGGTTTCCAAAATGTGTTACAATTATCACATAAAAATGATTAAAATGATTATTCCCATTTTCTCCCTATAATTAAAAACATGAATAATATCTTGAATCCATCTTGAAATTTAATATTTTCCAGATTATTAGCACTTTCTCTTTAGCTACATTTACTGAATATATGAAATTTAGTGAATGAATCTTAATTTTCAAAAGGAAATATACGGACTCTTCTTTATTTCAAGGGTCAGTAATTAATTATCTTTTATTTTTAATTTATTAGCTTCCAAAAATTGATCCAAACTTCCCCTTAACAGTAATTCTGCAAAGTAAAGCATATGCTTCACATAAGTATTTGATTCCAGTAATCACAATTATGAATCAAAGTAAAGGGTTCTAGATCTTTTAGTTCATGACATGTTAGCTTGGTTTCCTGGCACAGACTCACTCATAGTCAGGAAAGCACTGTTCGGAAGATATAAAAGAGCAACTACAAATATAGCAGCCCCCACCCCTTTTTAAAAAATCATATAATAGTTTGTTTTTGCATCATTTTGTGCCTTTTTCCATCTCAGTTGTAATCCTCGCGGGCTTCCCATCACTAAATCACCTGTGTGCCATCATCATAATCCAGTGCACTTCCCCTCATAAATTTCTGATCCTATTCCTCACTCCACCCTTGTAAAATGTCTCTGGTATGTATAGTTGTTCGTTGTTATTATTATTTTCTCCCTTCATCCTTTATGCTACTGCTATGAGTGAAACCATCTGGTATTTTTCCTATTATTTCAGGCTTATTTCACTAAACATGATCCTTTCCAGCTCCATACATGTTGCTAGCAGCCCCTTTTTATTAATATATATATATATATAATATTATTTTTAATGAAATGTTTAACTTCTACCCAGACATTCATTTTAAGTTTTTTATTTTCAGGTTTTTAAACTCTATTCATTCTTTCTTAGCCCTCCCTGTTTTATTGAGATGTAACTGACATTCTATAAATCTAAGGTGTACAGTGTGATGGCTAACAGCACTTTTGTCTTTACCTATAGTGCGATTCAGATTTGTAATGCTTGCTGTATTTGTTTTTGAAAATTTTTTATGCAGTAGTTTTCTAGTGGGTGGTTTAAGACCACCCAGACTCATGATGATAATTATGTTTCAGGATAATGCAAGTAGGTATAAAAGTCTTCCTTAGTAAAGCATAGCTCAAATTTAATAAAATTTTCCTTGTTTGCAACCTCCCTAGAAAACGGAACACAACTAAAATACTTAACCATTTGCTAAGATGTTTGGGAGAATAAAGCCGCCTGTCTACTTACAGGAAATGCTGTATTGGAGAATGTATTTTTTTTTTTAAGATTTATTTATTCATACAGAACTGGGGTACAGGCCAGAGATGCAGAGGGTGAGAGGATTCACCAGGGACAGAGTGGGGAGCAGAACAGGCAGATCGACCAAGTACACTGCTAAGGGGAGTAGCGGGGGGGGTCAGAAGAGGTCTGCCATGCCATGTGGATCTCCTCCGGGGCAGGCAGAGATTGAACTCATGCGGAAGTGACTTAAGCTTTTTAGTGCAGTGCTTTAACCCACTGTGCCACCAGGGAGGGCGGAGAATGTATTTTAACTGACAAGTTTAACAGCAATGTGGACTAATGGAAAGAATGATAGAAAAGATATGACAAGATTGAATTTTTGTTTCTCTATTGAAATCTCTATTTTTTTTCTTATTGTTAAAATGAGTATAATTTTCCTCCCACCATAGCATCAATATGAATATTGTCACAGTAACTGATGAACGTATTTGATACAACTATCTCCTAGTAATGAGACTACCTCAGAAGCATCTATTTCTAGATCATCTCATTAGATGTAGAGAAAGAGATTTTTTTCCTATAAATTATCTGCTTTGTCACCAATGCAAAATTAGTGATAAATAAGTTAATGAAAGATTACTGCACAAATGAAGGCTTTTTCACTCACAGTAAGGTGCATGCAGTTAATGTTGGGTCCTCCCTGAAGAGAGGTCACTGTATTTTTGTGATAAGAACAAATCTAAGGAGTCTACTTTCCTGAGAAGCTTTCCCCTAAGGAGAGATATCATTGTAAGAGAAATCTTATTCCCATACTACTAACCTTTCTCTAGTAGTTTACCTGAAGTTTTAAATTCAAAGACTAAGAGTGGCACTATTCATTCATTATCTTTGTTCACTTGAAGAAGAGATTAAAGAATTCTAAGCTTTTTACCTACAAATGCTATAAAGGAGTATAACACAGAAAAAAAACTTTAAATATTTGAATGAGAGTGAAAATCAGCAAAAGAATTGCTTGTCAATGCATTTTGTTTGCAAATAATGAGTAACTGTGAGTTGCTAAGAAATCTGTAGTTTATCCTGAGTTCACAGGTATGTGGGAATTTGAACACTGAGCTCCTTGACCATATGTTATGAAATGCATACTACTAGCAACACTTACAGTGATTCTTTTGCAATTGCAGTTTTAGTGTGTATTGTCTTTAAAGTTTTCCTTTTTTTTTTTTTTAAGGAAGCTTAAAGGACTTGCATGGACCCCCAAAGGGCACGCACTCCTCCACTTAAGCTTATGGACTGAGCACAGTCTGGACCTTGCATGGCTTCTGGGGAAAAAAATAAATCTGAACCAAACTGATGACATTTTAAGCCTTTCATCCAGTTGCTTCTGAGCCAGATCAGCTGTAAGCTGAAACCTCAAGGAATAACAGGAAGACTCCAAGCACTTGTGATACTTTGCATCTTTCCTAATATGAAGCTTCCAAACTGTGTGGCTTTGAAGACTAATGGGTCAAGTCTGTAGCCTTTGAAATAATGGACACAGAGCAAGAAACAGAAGTGGTCCGTGCTTATTTTCATGTGAATGTGACTTTATAAGACCGAAGAACCATACTGTAAATTTTCATTTATCTTATTTCCAGATATAATTTCATATAGCTGATAGTCCTAGGAAAAGTCAAAGTAAGATTAGTTACCTTAGTTTTTTGGAGAATGGATTCAAACTGAATGCTTTTTCATCCTCTAAGCTAATTAGCTAGGTGGTTAGAATTGGCTTCAGGCTGCCCGCCTAAATCTTGGGTTTAGAAGATGAAATTAACTGAATCAGAAATGAACAACTGTTTTCCAGAATCAACATTTCTGTTCTCGGCTACTGTCTCATGAGCACCTGCTGGTAGTTAGAGGACCTGGTAGTGAGAGGGGCTCGAGTTAGGAGATTATGGTGGGGAAAGAGCCATAAATTACTCTGACTTAAAAATCACTGTGCATGTCCTAGAGACATGTATACAAAGATTTGCATATTTATGTGAAAATCAGTCGATCTGAAACAATTTGTTATTTCCATCCCTGTGTTTGAACTTAGAAGATCCAGAATTCCTCTTTTACAGCAGTGTATTTATAAAAAATAATGATCCTTTATTTACACTGTAGTTTATACTAAAGGCTTCGGAAAAGACGGCATATCAGGTTCCCCTACTACTGAAATAGAACAGCGTTTAGGTGAACGGGCTGTAACTGTTCCAGTGAAGTTTGACCAGGATACTGCAATGTTCCCTTTGATCATATAAGTTTTGTTATCACAAAAATCTTGTAATTTAACCAGATGACTTAAATGTAAGTGTGTGGTGTTTCTATAAAAGCTCCCCATCCCTTACCACCTCCTTTCCACCTTCATATTTATGCACTAGTATTATCTCTAAAGCAGGGACAGAAATGAACCTAGTTCAATCATGTATCAAGGGATGGCTCATTCACTCTGAATCTTTATGCCCTGGATTGTGGTGTGGTTGCTTGAACCTACATGATCAGATCTGCCCTTTGTCTTTTAACTGACTAGTATTACGTTTTGTCCCATTTGCACTTTAAAAGCAATAGAGTTTTTGAACATCAGTGTGGTATAGTACACTAAGATTTTTTTTTTTTTTTTTGGAATTGCTCTGCCCAAATCAGTATCTGTTACTTAACATGTTAAACTAAATATTAGAAATCTCTTTTTTAACTTCCCTCCCTTTCTAATGAGCTCTTTTTCTTATTGCTGGAACTAACTCTCCCTGCCCATATTTTTAAGTTCCTATACATGTATATGTGCTTGCTTGTGTTTGCTATTTAATATGACCTCAGTTCCTTTAACTGAAATTGGAAATTACAGTGTCTCATGGTACAATCTTTTGGGTCTACCTAGTGCTAGTCACAACTTATTGACATTTTCTTTTTTCTTTTCCTTAATAGTTTTAAACTCTCCTACTTAACTATTAGGAGAATTGCCTTTAGGAAACACATGTAAAATGTTTAGGGTTTGACCATAAGATGTTTATGAAAATGGAACAGTTTCCTTGAGTGGCTTCACTATATGTCATTGTTTGCCATCTGATCGTTTTTATTATGACAGAGAGCTGATCAAAGTAGAGGTCATGGTTGTCCCCCTTTTTGTAACCCAGATATATTTTCCATATGTAAAGCCCTCATTAACTTCAAAGACAAACACTGTGGTGGGAAGAAGACTCTGTTTTGTTTTGTTTTGTTTCAACTGATTTCCTTTTAACTGAGGCAATGTTGGTTTACAATCCTGTATGTTTAAGGGATTCAGTTTTACAGTTCTTCAAATGTATGTTACCACACCACACCCACTACCAAAATAGCAGTAACCTTCATCATAGTCCACTGGGAGAATTGAGACTTGGCCAACTATCCTGAAACATCACTTTTGATCAGTTAGAGGAATGTTTAGAGTTAAATGTTGATTTCATTTTGATATAGTTGATAATACATTTGAAAAATTCTGGGTCATTTTTATCAAGATGAAGACATTTACCACCACTTACTATGAATACATGCCCTAATACTATAATCTACTCTCTCTGGAGGAAAATATTCAGTTTCCATTTCACATTGCTGGAATACCCTCTAGCACTTAAATAAATACAACTGCAGGAGTGCTTGTACAGGAAATCACCATCAGGTAATAATATGCCTGGGAGTATATAATCAGTGTGACTTTTAAGGTTGCAGAAACTCAGCAAGGATGTAGAAACAAACACTTATAAAGGCCTGGGTTTTATAATGTTGTGTATATGGAATATATTGTTTCAAATATAGACTTTTCTACCTAGCTACAGTGTTGTTACTAGGTTAAGCACTATTGTTTGTGCTAATAAAAAAATAACAAGAGAAAAGAAAAAGAAAAAAAAATCCACCAATGCTTTAAGGTAGTTGGCTTGAATCAATTTAGATTTCATATTACTATTTTGCATACTGGAATTTATAAAAGTGTAAATGTTTGTTTTCTTATACAAATAGTTTTGTAATATCTTTTTATATTTGTGAATAAAACTGTTACCTGGCATTCTTATTTATATGTCCAGTAAGAAAATGATTGATGATGTGAATACAGCTGTTTTCCCCTCTTAGTCTCCATGTGAGGGTCTCACTAGTTCCAGTCCTGCTGTTACAACCCTCTCTCTTCACTCAAATATTGTAAGTGAGATCTGAAATCCTAATTAGTGAAATGATTCTATTTCTCAAGCAGGTCAAACTACTGAAAAATTCTCTGCGTTATTTGAGAAGCTTTGGTAATCAAGATTTTTTTAATGAGTTATTGTTTCCTTCACTGTATGACGAAGACAGAAGGTACTAATCTTCATTCTTTTCAGAGGTCAATAGGGTGTTCTCTTGTGAAGAATGGTCTAAAATATGAAGAAATTTCCATAGAGCAGCACTGGTCACTGTAAATGTTTATTTTTTTCCTTCCTAGCTTAATTCCTTCCCTGCCCACCCCATCCCCACATAAGAAAAGCTTTTAAAGCTATTATTAGAGACAGAGAGAGGGCTTTAAACTTCCTGGGAAAAGTGAGTTCTTCTAAAGTGACACCATATTCTCTCAGCTGGTTAGTAGTGTTAAATGACACCATGGGTTCCATGAGGGAAAGTCATTAGCTTCTTTCCCCTTCCCTACCCCCATCCACTGGTCCCTCTATTTATTTAGACTTTTCCAGTGTCTTTGGAAACTGGCTGACTTTATAGTTATCATCAGCTCCCTAAGAAAAGTAACTTAAGTCTATGTGGTTCTAACAGGAAATCTGAAGTATTCCATTGTCCATAAATGACATTTTCAATATTATTGCTATTATTAAGGCTGTTTGCAGCTGGCTTCTTGTCATTCTGAATTTGTTTATTTGTCCCATTTTTCCATGAGAAGGTAAAATATTTCGTATATTTAAAAACTATTGGCATCCAATTCAGTGTGTAAATACAGCTTGGATTTATCATTCAGTATCTTGAAACTAAACAGTAGCCTAAGGATTTCCAAAATTTTCTCTAATATCTAAGACATTTCAGTTAAAAACTCTTAATGATTCTAGAGTGGTTACCATACTAAATCAAGTTAGCAATTCACAGTAACATTGCTTAGGTCAGATTTCAGCCCCAGGAAGGCTTCTAAACAGGCTGGGGTCAGGTCCTTTCATAAACCACCAGAGGCATTTGAATTAGTGTGATTTATGGCTGCCTTCAAAGTTGTCTTTCCAAAAGAGTTGAATTTTAAAAAGTTAATCAGCGAAACCACTTTCACTGGAAGCATGGTGGTCTTCTGAAACAGGATTCAATTATTAGTCTATAAAGAGAGAGTTCTTTTTATCATAATTTCTTATGTCAGTAACATTAAGATAGAATGTTAGATGGCATTCTTTACTTAAGATAGAAAGCTATGTTCTGTAGATGTTGTTTGCGGTTGAATCTTTAGTAGCTAGCGTAACTACAAAGATATTTTCCTTACCTTGGTTGAATATTTAGAGTAAACAGAAGATCCACAGAACACTACTTTAATAGCAAGCTAGGCAGAGAGCTTCCACACAGCCGGACACATCACACATCAGGTGAGTTTTGAAGGCAGGGTTCCAGAAGATACCTTCTCTCAGTTTATAAATTACTACCCATAATTGTGGATTTTGAATGTCCTTTGAATAATGCCTGATAGACATTATCTGAGGACTTTGGTGGTTAATTTTATGTGGCAACTCGAATGGACCAGAGTGCCAGGTATTTGGTCAAACACTAGTCTAGATGTTTTTTATATGAAGTTAGCATTTAAATCAGTAGACTTTAAGTACAGATGACGTCTCTTCATAATGTAGGGGCTTCATCCAATCAGCTAAAGACTTAAAAGAGTGAGACTCCCTAATTTAAAAAAAAAAAAAAAGGAATTCTGCCTCTTTTGAAGTCCCATGGCTCTTTGATAAATTACAATCCTGGCCTTCCAGGTCCCTTCTAATGTGAACTCTGTCCACTGTCAATCACTGTACACAGTTTTCCACTGGCCCCCTTCTCTGCTAGCCCTGGGCATTTCTATTTCTTTCCTTTGACTATGATGGCTGATTCAGTCATCCAACAACTTCATCTCAGGTATAACCTTTCAGTTCAGGAAAGAAAATTTCCCTGACCATCCTATCTAAAATGCTAACATCCTTGTTACACACTCATTGCTTAATTTATTTTCCCCCCACTACTCAGATTTTACTAATGTGCAATGTTTAGTTGTCTATTCATTACCTGTCTCCTAATATAATGATTAAGCTAATAAAGTTTCAGTGCTAGATTATGATATGTTATAAAGTATATGCTTAATGAATAATTGCTCATCAAATGATTACATGTGTAATCAAGTGATTACATGCATCTGTGTAACTTACTGAGTTGTCAACTTACTGTAGGTTCCCCCGACTGAAGACATATTTATTTTTGACCTTTGTTTACATTTTCCTAAATGGGCTCAACATCAGACATCTTTCTTATACTTGAGGATGACCACTTGATTTATCAGACTCATAGGGATTGAGTTGAGAACAGGGCATGGATTTATGCAGAGATTGCATAATGTAATGGTTAA